GGGTGGGTGGGGCATGTAGTTCTGGAGTGCTGTTAATAAACATCACTCCAGAGTACACCACGGGCTGCTGGTGCATCTGCTATGGACAGTGATCAGAACTGTTATTGTATGGCTCAGTTTGCAGGAACAGTGTACAATCCGTGTGTTGCGATCACTGTGATGACCAATCCTACGGATCAGAAGTGTAGACAGTACTACTGTTTACATTGGAGAGCCCTCCCTTTCCTCTTACAATGCAGGAAGGGGAGGAATTGAGGATTTGAAAATGAAAGATTTATGAATAAAGTGATTACCAGCCGATTAATGATGAGGGATTTAAACTGACTGTTGGATCCTTTTTTTCAATCCTTTCATCCCCTCCTCTCCTATACATCTCAGCTCCATCCTATCTCTGTAGTGCCTGTATATTAACTCCTTGACCTCCTTATCCTGCACATCTGTATATTAACCCCCCTCATCTCCATCTTCCCACTATATGTGACCTGAACATTAACCCCTTCACCTCCTCCCTCTGTATATGACTTGTACTTAATGGGGGTTATTCACAAAGCTAGCCGAAGGATCAGCCATAGCTTCGGCTGATCCTTTGGCCAGCTTCGGTTGCGGGAGGAGCTATGTACAGCTCCAGAATGCGGGCGAGCGGCTCAGCCGAGCTGAAGGCATATGCTTTGGCAAGACTGAGCCGAAGATACAACTGAAGCAGGGCGAACGGCCGTCCGAACGCCTCGCAAATGACAGCTGGGCGGAGCCAGCCGTGATCTCACAGCTGGCTACGCCCATTTATAATGACAGATCAGCGTCCCCCAATGACCTGGGGATGCTGATCTGTCATTAAACAATAGCAACTGGGCGGAGCCAGCTCTATCGTCACTACACGCTGCCCGGATTCCTGATACTGGAAGTATCGGGCTAGGCATGGGAGCATTTGGGCGAGTACGAGTACTCGCCCAAATACTCGGCATCGGCACCGATACTAGTATCGGTATCGGTGCATCCCTAGTTGTTTTTATAAACAAATTTAACATAACAAATGATAGGCATCAGATGGATAAGTGCCATAAGTACATCTCAAAACAAAACCCATACTAATGCTACATAACAGATGAAAGAACAGGCAATATATACCCATCAAATTGACAGACCCAACTGGGAAGGAATATTAGGCAGGAGGCCCAATGTCAAAGCTGAAGGTATCTAAAGTACTCAGTAGCAGGGGCTTGCAATCTGCCTTTAAAGTGGGTCCATGTTCAGACAGACCCATTGTCCAATAGGTGATATAAATGTCATGAGAGGACCACCAAGCAAATAAGCAAATGTAGCAGGTGAGCGCCTGCCTGTCAGTTTTTCAGGCAGATCTGATCAGAAGCTCAAGCTCAATGTTAGTCTATGGCTAGGCGGACGTCTAGGTCCCAAAAAAAAAAGTTTAATTTTTTGGACCTAAACATTAGGGATTGGAGGGAGAAGGATGTAAATGGACACACATCTAAATACATCCATCTGCCCATAAACCTAACATGGGTCCATTCAGCTCAGTTATTTCCTCCATCAGAGTTAGCATTGAACTGAATATATATTAATTAGGCAGCATTGGGTTTTGGATTCTGTTTAAAGATCTTTGACATTTACTTACCACAACCATCAGACTGTCCCTCAGTAAATAGAAGGGAAAACAAAACGACTATTTGCAGCAACATCTTTCATCTGGCAGTGCTGTAACTATCAATGAATCATAACAGATAAAATGTTCAAATAAATACACATATATTACATAGATACACACCAAGGCTTGTTACATAAAAAGCTTGGGACTAGGAATGTTTTCCTTTCAACTGAAGTTTCAGTTTAAATGCATTCTAGGTGCATCAAAGCAAAAGGTGTGCACAGCACACTTGTATCTTACAGTACATTTTTCTTTAGAAAGCATCCACAGAGTAGAGTAGAAAAGCCTGGCCCCTGTCAGCATACTGCATAGAAGACTACTGTTATCTCAAAGCAGTAGTTTCTCTGTAGACGAGGTCTGACATTCCCCTACCGAGTCAGAATAAGAGCTCTCTGATCAGAAGAGAGAATGAGCTTTGCCGATTGGAGATCTCTATTTCTGACTCACCAGGGGGTGTGTCAGACTTCTGCAGATTGACCACTGCAAGCAAGGATTCTACTTTGCAGCCTGCTTGCACGGGACAGGATTTTCTACTAAGGCTATGGCTCCTTTCAAAATAAAACAAATTGTAGGTCTTAGCATACTTTTTTCCTGATGTCTGGAATGTATTTAGCTGATTTAACTTAAAAGTTCAATTGGTCTTTAAAGAAAGTATGGTGTATTTTTACTGCCCTAGCACTGGTATTCTGTGCAAATTGTTTAAATGTGCATCTTACACAGATACAGTAGGAGAAAAGGTTTGCTAGTTAAATTGATGTGTGCTACCAAAATAGTTAGCATTCTGGTTGTAAATAGTTAACTGACCTTGTGCAGCCGGTGATGCAGAGACTTGTGGGAGTTGCAGTGCAGAGCCTCGGACAAGCCATGCTGTGTGAGACTGTTGGGACTGCAATTCCCAGGAGGCTGTGCTTTGAGGAGGAGGGGTGATTCTGGGCTGGGTTTGCTGAGTGCGGTCAGTCCGGGAGAACCCAGAGAAGGACACAGATCTATGTGGCTGCCGCTGACGCAGAGGAGCCATAGATCCTGTGTGAGTCTGTCCATGGGAGTGTGAGCGGACTGGAGAGCATCCAGACAGAGACTTCCGTCTAGTTTGTGGCAATCAGTGTCATTTGGGCAATCGTTCTGTGGGGTGCAACCTCACCCACACAGTGGGGATATCACGGCCTGAGCAAACAACCGCACCTGTACAGGGAGAGATCCATAGAGACCTAGTAATCCACGGGAGGTCTGGAGGTGTTCTCAGAGAGCGTTGTTCAGCATCTTCCTATGACCGGAGATCATCTTCAAGGTACAGCAGATGACTTCAGCAACAAAGGTGCCGGCTTGAGAGAAAGGGGATGTCCGTCTCTCATTGACGGACATCACAGCTGCAAGATTGACTCTGGAAGTGTTGAGGCCTTTGGCCATTTGTTTTACTTCTACAATTAACTTCAGCAACACAGCATGGGCCCCAACGATGGCTAGCCCAGACTATTGCTACTGGCCAGTAGTATAGAGAGTTGGGGATTAATTGGGACTGAGACATTAGCAATCAGGTATTCAAAGGCAAAGATATCAACTGAGATAGTTCAGTACTGCATATTTCAGTGTGTGTGTGTATGTATGTATATATATATATATTGCCCAGACTATTGCTACTGGCCAGTAGTATAGAGAGTTGGGGATTAATTGGGACTGAGACATTAGCAATCAGGTATTCAAAGGCAAAGATATCAACTGAGATAGTTCAGTACTGCATATTTCAGTGTGTGTGTGTATGTATGTATATATATATATATAT